ATAACAGTAATTCAATTTTAAATATTAGTTTATATATTGTGATATTGTGTGATAAGGCGCAAGGAGACATTTCTATTATTATTAATTTTTAAATTAGGTTTTTATTCTATTCCATTTCAAGAAGCATTCATAAATTTCGTTATGACTATATTATAATTTCCTTATTCCTTTCCATTTTCTACGAATTATAGGTGCACTTACTCATGACATTAGATATTTAAGTATCCTTATTTGCATTACTATTACTTACCCATCTTTCCCCCACAACAGTTTTCACATTTCCCCCTAATCATCCTTACTTAAAATTCAGCAGAACCCTCGAGTATTATTTGCTGTACCCCAGTTGGTAGCCCTTTCAGTCAGTGTTTGTGGCACCATAGTCGCCGTCGTTCCAATCACTTCCTCGCTAATCACTTTGATTGCCAAATCACCGTTTTCCCCGGCGACCCCGAACCCCCTCCTACGCTTTCCCGCCCCGCCGCCTTCATTATTGCACTCATCACGTGCGAGCTGCAAGAACAACAGTCGCAGCGGCAGCAGAGCGGCAGAGACAACAGAGCCAGCAATTGTAACAACAACCGCACAATCAGTAGCCCCACTCTGCCGCCCACACCCACCCTTTCCCTTGCGTTTTCCCTTGATTTCCCTCTGCCTCTCCGCGCTGCGTACTGCGTAAAATCAGTCGATGGTTTTCGCTGGCTATTGAAGTTTTATTGGGCAGCGACGCCAAGGAACAGTGGCGGTCAAGACAATAGCATTCAACAAAACAGAATATATTTATTTTCTTAAAAGAGTGTATACATTTTAATAACTTTTTTGTATGATTTATTTCTTATGAGAATACTATAAACAAGAAAGAAAGCTAACTTTGGCCAGCCAAAGTTTGTATACCCTTTCAGGTAACAGTTAAAAGATATCATAACTAAGCCAAAAATGCATTAATTTCGATTCGGAAAGCAGTTTTGTGTTAGTTTTTATTAATTTAAAAAAACTGCATACCAAATTTAAAATTTTAAGAAATCAAAATTTTTGGCCATTTTTGCTAATTTTAATGATGTATCCCCTTATCAAATTTCGCAAAAATGGCCAAAAAATCGATTTCTTCCGGACATGTCTACAAAGATTCGCATGTTAATGCTGATCAAGAATATATATGGTTTATGGGGTCGGAAATGATTCCTTGACTTAGAAAAATATTATTTATATATATTAAAATTAAAAATATCATAACTCGGCCAAAAGAGCATTAATTTTAAATCGGTAAACTATTCTGTGCAAGATTTTCTACAGTTAATAAATCTGCATACTTCATTTAAAAATTTAAAAAATTCAATTTTTTATCAAAATCAAAAATTTTAATGATGTAAAAATTTGCAAAAATGGCCAAAAAATCGATTTCTTCCGGACATGTCTAGAAAGATTCGCATGTTAATGCTGATCAAGAATATATATGGTTTATGGGGTCGGAAATGATTCCTTGACTAGAAAATTATTATTTTGTATTATAAAATCTGATTTTTATACCCTTGCAGGGTATTATAATTTCAGTCAGAAGTTTGCAACGCAGTGAAGGAGACGTTTCCGACCCTATAAGGTATATATATTCTTGATCAGCATCAACAGCCGAGTCGATCTAGCCATGTCCGTCTGTCTGTTTCTACTCAAACTAGTCCCTCAGTTTTAAAGCTATCTGAATGAAACTTTGCATATAGTCTTCTATATGCTCTCACTGCTATATATGTCGGAATAAGCCGGATCGGACGACTATATCATATAGATGCCATACAAATGTTCGATATATTTTTGGAAAAAAAATTATAACTTTGCTGTTTTTAAACATTTTTGCACAATTTTTAGATATGGCCATTTTATATTATTTCAGAATTTTGGTAAAAATTTTATGAAAATCGGACGACTATATGATATAGCTGCCATAGGAACGATCGAGAAATAAATAGGAAAACAAGAAAGAAAGCTAACTTCGACACGCCGAAGTTCGTATACCCTTGCAGATTGCAATTGGATCACTAAGAATCGACTCGAATGTAGAATTTTTTACATTTTTTTAAATATTTTAACTGCCAAATTTGAATTTGAATTTAACTGCCAAATTTGAATTTGAATTTAACGACAATCAGTTTCAGTGTGCCCAGGTGCAGTTGTAAAATAATACCTAAATTTGGATTCGAAGGGTTTGAGTCTCCGCTTACTTGCGCCGGCTCCTAAATGGTTCGAAACTTGGACTTTTTATAACAGTTTATACCAGTTTTCAGCTGCTTGCTGCTGATTTCTGTTCGCCTGTTACCCCAATTTGGGAAACGGGCAATTTGCATGGAAATGTTCGGAAATTTGGATGGGCTGCTGTAGAGATGTTGTTGTAAAAAGGTTGTTGTTGCCATCAAGCTGTTGTTGTCGGCAACAAATAGGTATAAATGCATACAATGAAATATAACAGTTTATACCAATTATTATTTTTGCCCAAAAGTTTTTATAACAGTTTATACCAGTTTTCAGTTGCTTGCTGCTGATTTCTGTTCGCCTGTTACCCCAGTTCGGAAAGCGGCCAATTTGAATGAAAAGTTTTGCTCACTTCCATCAGTGATGCTCACTTTCATCAGTGATGCTTACTTCCATCAGTGATGCTCACTTCCTTCAGTGATGCTCACTTCCATCAGTGATGCTCACTTCCATCAGTGATGCTCACTTCCATCAGTGATGCTCACTTCCATCAGTGATGCTCACTTCCATCAGTGATGCTCACTTCCATCAGTGGTGCTCACTTCCATCAGTGATGCTCACTTCCATCAGTGATGCTCACTTCCATCAGTGATGCTCACTTCCATCAGTGATGCTCACTTCCATCAGTGATGCTCACTTCCATCAGTGATGTTCATCACTGGCAGCTAGTGAGATGTAATTTTCTACCAATAATGCAAAAAAATAGCTAGATGAGCATCACTGATGCACATGCGCATCACTGACATTAAGCCCGACTTTATTGACCTCCAATATTGAAATATAGCCAGATGAGCATCACTGATGCAGATGAGCATCACTCATGCAAGTGAGCAAAAATTTCCATCCAATTTGGCCGTTGCCCAAACTGGGGTAACAGGCGAACAGAAACCAGCAGCAAGCAACTGATAACTGGTATAAACTGTTATAAAAAGTCCAAGTTTCAAACCATTTAGGAGCCGGCGCAAGTTAGCGGAGACTCAAACCCCTTGAATCTATATTTAGGTATTATTTTACAACTGCACCTGGGCACACTGAAACTGATCGTCGTTAAATTCAAATTTGACAGTTAAATTCAAATTCAAATTTGGCAGTTACAACATTTAAAAAAATGTAACAAATTCTAAAAAAAAATTCTAAAAAATATAAAAAAATCTGAAAAAAAAATTTTAAAAATTCAGGCAAAATTTTAAGAATTCAGAAAAGTTTTAAATATTTAGAAAAACAATTTTAATAGCTGCCATAGGAACGATCGAGAAATAAATAGGAAAACAAGAAAGAAAGCTAACTTTGGCCGGAAAGAGGTTTGTATACCCTTGCAGGTAACAATTAAAAGATATCATAACTAAGCCAAAAATGCATTAATTTCGATTCGGAAAGCAGTTTTGTGTTAGTATTTATTAATTTAAAAAAACTGCATACCAAATTTAAAATTTTAAGAAATCAAAATTTTTGGCCATTTTTGCTCATTTTAATGATGTAACCCCTTATCAAATTTCGCAAAAATGGCCAAAAAATCGATTTCTTCCGGACATGTCTAGAAAGATTCGCATGTTAATGCTGATCAAGAATATATATGGTTTATGGGGTCGGAAATGATTCCTTGACTTAGAAAAATATTATTTTGTATTATAAAATCGGATTTTTTATATTAAAAAACTTCTTGATTTTTTTAAAATTAAAAATATCATAACTCGGCCAAAAGAGCGTTAATTTTAAATCGGTAAACTATTCTGTGCAAGATTTTCTACAGTTAATAAATCTGCATACTTCATTTAAAAATTTAAAAAATTCAATTTTTTATCAAAATCAAAAATTTTAATGATGTAACCCCTTATAAAATTTTGCAAAAATGGCCAAAAAATCGATTTCTTCCTGACATATCTAGAATGATTCCCCTGTTGATGCTGATCAAGAATATATATACTTTATAGGGTCGGAAACGTCTCCTTCACTGCGTTGCAAACTTCTGACTGAAATTATAATACCCTGCAAGGGTATAAAAAACTATTATTTTACTATTATATATATTATAAGCTATTTACATTTGCATTGAGTAGGACCTACTCTAGATCCTCTAGGGGTTTCTTTAATGTTGCTTGAAATATATACACTAAAAAACTATTAAATAATTAAATTCTTGAAAAAATCAACAACGAAGATAAGGACCTGGGAGTCCCATTTTTGTGATCACAACTGTAACTTCACTTCTTGATATTGCTGCTGTGCCATTGATGTTGCTGTTGTCGTTGCTGTTGCATTGGTTGCTGCTGTTGTCATCGGCGGCGTCGTCGTTTCCGTTTGACATTTTGTTAACAATTTCGACCACAATGCGTTTTCATTGCAGCCCCCGAAAAAGGCTGGGTGGATACTGACGGGGGAAGGCATGCGTGTGAATGGTGAATGAATGCATGAATGAGTGCAGTGAGTGGATCGCAGAGCTGGCGGTTGTGTGGACCGGACGAAGAGGGGTTTCCTTGGCGTTAAATCAGACGACAAATGTCACGAAGCTAATGAATTGAAACGTGCCAAAGATTTGGTGTTCATAATCAAAGCAGCATTTTCAGGAGAGAAGAGGGACGAGAGGTATATAAAAAGTATTTGTATTGTATAAATTCCAATAGATACCAGCTCCAGCAAGGGCTTCTATTCAATGGAATTTATTTACTCCATTCCTTAAATTTTAAATTATTTATAATCTCGTATATTTCAAAGAAAAGCGAGTAAGCAATTGAGAAGCCTAAAGGAAAATCTAGGCTTAGCTATCCAGCTTAACAGAGCATTTATTAGAATGCATACATTGATTACAGAATACAGAATGTGAAATTGCTACGAAAGATATGCATGAGAAAAAGTAAGCAATTAAAATCCTCAGTCGCGCTTTAATTGTACTGATCCACCTCGAAGACAGTGCGCTCCACGACGAACACCCTCTTGGAGCGCTTAGCGGCGATGGCGTCTGTAGCCTCATTGAAATCCACCAGAGCCTGGGTAAGCTCAACATCGCTTTGAACGGCCCTCAGGAAAGCATTAGCCTCCTCTTCTTTCTGTTCTAGCTCTGATAATTCCTTTTTGGGTGGCACCTTTTTCTTCTTGGGGTCAATCTTTTCGAGGGGTACGGTCTCCTCCTCCTTAATAGGCATACTAAGGCGTTTCTTCAGCTTCATTTCCTCCTCCCGAGCCTCGAGATGCTTGCATCTAAAAATCTCTCGCTCGAACATCTGTGGTAAAGGAATATAGCTTTGCTTTCAGGTAGTGTACAAGGTCAAAAGGACTTACCGCCATTATGAGCGACTTCTCCTTGACTGTGGCGCTTCGCATGCCTTCGTCCAATTTCAGAATAATGCAGTCTCCATTCTTGAGGCACACAGTGAGCATATGACCATCTGGCCGAAAGACCAAATTGGTGATGGCATGCGGAAACTTGACGGTCTGAAAGGGCTTTTGTTGACTCATGAGGAGATCCCAGAAGTGCAAGTTTCCGCGTTCGTCGCCGGTGACGAAGAGCGAGCAGCGACCGGTGCTCCAGGCGCCGCTGAGCAGTTGGTGCTTGCTCCGGAAGTAGAAGGTGCTCGGGCAGTTTTTCACCTCCTCCGACCAGATGCGCGCGCGCCAGTCGCCGATGAGCAGGAAGTTCTTCACGAAGAACGGATTACGCATAACGCTGCGGATGGGGCCGGCGAACATCGGATAAGCAGCTATAATTGTGTCCTGTGGCGTGAGGCCCTTCCGGTTGCCCACGAACACGTAGCCCATGTCGGTGCCAATGATGTAGCGCACCGGAATCGTATACTCAAACTCCATGACGGTAACCCCGTGCGCGTCCTGACGGTTCTGCACCAACTCGGGAAACGGCTCGGCCAGCACCTCGTTCACCGGCATTACCATGTCCCGAGAGTCCCAGTACTTAATGGACCCGTCCAGCGAGCCTGTGTAAAACTCGGTGTTTGCCTTGTTGTGCACCCAGCACAGGGCCGATGTCTCCTCTCGATGGGAGGCCTCCAGCGGACATATCCTTTTTGGAGCTCCCATCTCGGCGGTCTCCCAGTAGCACACCTGGCCGTTGTTAAGGCCACCCACCATGTAGTTCTCGTCGCGCATACAGACCTTGGCGATCTGCACCAACTTGTCGGAGTCATAGTGGGCCACCGGGCGTGTGGGGTCGTCCACGTCCCACACGTAGAAGGCATTGCGGTTGTCGTTGCCAAAGTCAGGCAACATGTTGAGGAGCTTCTGGTTGCCAGCGTTAACGTACGACAGTACGAACTGGTTCGGGTCAGTGTTCAGCCATTCGCACATGGTCAGCTTGCGCTGTGGTAACCACAGGTCGTGGAAGACGTTGATGCCTCTGGCATTTAAACGCACCTTGAGTCCGTGTCCAAGGTCCTCTGGCAAGTCCTTGAAATAGTCCTCATAGATGTTAATTGAGTTGTTCTGGGAGCTGATCGTCATCACATCGCGGATTAGCTGGTTCACTTCAATGCCCCACGAGTCCTCCCTCTCGACCTTCTTGCGGTAGCGCAGTGTGGACTCTTCGTCCATAACGTTCACCTCCTTGATGTTCCAGCCGCCCTCGTAGTGGTTAATACCGTGCGAGTCCAAGACCACGTTGTGTGTAATGATCGAGGAGAGCGCCATCTGATCGGATAACTGCGTGCCCTCGTTAATAGGATTGCGCAGGATGTACTTCAGGCGCATGCGTCCGCTCGGCTGAATGCTGAGGATCATCTCGTTGCGGTCGGTGAAGAGGCACTGGCGTCCGAAGCGGCGGCGCTCCCGCAAAATAGTTAATGAGTTGCCCAAGGTACCCATAGCTTTTAGGTTTTTATTTTTAGATTGTATATTAGGAAAGAATCTTGAAATTTATATAAGCTGAGCACAGTATTTTTGATAAATTTATCGCAGTAGATGTGGAAAACAAAAAACGGAATTATTTAAAGAAATTCAACTTGACACTAAAAAGCAAACTTTATTTCTTCTTACAAATTCAATATAAAAGTAAAAGGTTGTTTGCAGGATCAACAGAGTCAAATGGAGTCATCTGAAGTCATCATCATTTTTCCTTCTCCTCTGTTAAATAATAAGTAAACAGGGCCATGGGGATTTTGTTAATATAATAATAATATCAACGGTTTACTGTTCTAATCTAAAAAATCAAATCGTGTCCTTGGTGGCTTGCAATCAGATCCTGGGGCGCCATCAAATCGTTGCAACAACGTTGGGTTTAGCAGCTATCTTAAATGACTTATGTCAGACATATTCCGGCTTGGAGACTTTCAGGGGACCCACCCGCTCATTGCCAGCTGGCTGAGCAAGGACAAGGCCACGCACGCAGTTGGGCACCCAGAAGCCACCCACAGGCCAGCCCCTCATCAGTGGCAATGTGGCAACATTGTGCAGCTTTTTACCCCTCTCCGGAGACACTGACATTGCAATTCCGCCTGCCATTCTTTTTCAAGCACTTTCCTTCGAGGGACTGCAAGGGGAGCGTATTTCTCTTCCGGACCCGGACCCGGACCAGGACTAGCACCCGGGCCTGGGGCCCACTTGTAACCGTCGTTGTCGTCGTCGTCCTCGTTGCACGGCTGGCCGCCCATTGTCACTGCAACTTTTGTTGCAAGGCGCAGCGCTTTAATCTTAAACACGCCAGCGGAACGGAACACTCGAGCGTTGTCAAGTGGGGCTGCCCTGACTGCTTGGCTGCTTGACTGCGTGAATGCCAGCTGCCAGGAGCCGGGACCTACAAGTCAAGATCCTGATGGGCAGTGATGCCAGTTGCCAGTTTCATTTTCACAGAGAACTGAGTTAAAAGTCGACAGAAATTAAGCTTTTTAATGGAAATATAACATAAAATTATAAAAAATAAACTAAAGTATGTCCAGTTGTGGTAAATTCTACAGAATTTTTATTTCATTTATTCAATATTCTAGAATTCCATTTATAAGAGTTAGGTTATTCATTGGTAATGATCCTAAATGGAAAAACCTAAAAGAACATCTCTGCTGCTTCCTTCAACGCTGCGCCAGCAGTTGTCCTGGGCGCACGCAAAGTAGACAGTTGACTTGCAACCAGCTCTTGGCTCTGCCCCTCCTTATGTATCCCCCTCTCCGGTTGCTTCTGTGGGAGTGGGAGCGCTTAAAGCGCCGCCTGATTTCCATTTCATGCCACGCCCGCGCGCAAAAGCTGCTTAGGCATCCAAGTCGAATCCCCAAATCCTTTTTGCCATCCTCAAGTGTTTATCTATATCGCTTACTGGATTCGAATTTCTCCCAAGGCGGTTCAAATGAGATTGCCCTTGCAAAGGGTTTTTGTTATTTAATGCAAAATGTTTCAAGGGATTTCTTAAATAAAACGGGTAAATGCTTATATGCTTACCAATTAAATCCAGTTACTTTAAGGCGATTATTAAAATAAATAAAAAGAACTTAAGGGAAGTCCTTTGACAAATTTTTGCTGAAATCTCCTCCAAACCAGTCAAACTAGTTTTAATATGCTTTTTATAAACCTTGTTAATCCCATTACAAATCGGTAACTTAAAGATTTCCGTTCTGTTATTAAAATCCAAGTTGTTAAATTCCAAAGTCCGATGGACCACAAAGGGTATTCCGAACCAAGAATCCTAAGCACGACCCTTCTCCAATTTGTTTTGCACTTGGTCTTGTTGCCCTTTTTTGGCATGTGCGCATTTAATTGAAATTTCCAAAGTCGCCCATTTTTGGGGGCGATGGCGGCCACGCCCACTTTGTGAGCTATGCTACGCACTCGCTTTCTTCTTGGGCAAATTTTAATTAAAATGTTCGTAAAGCATTCACGTTTCCCGGCATTTTTTCCGATTGCTTCGTCGCCGCCAGTTTAAAGTGTGAAGTTCCGAGACAATTTTCCGGCTACTACTGGGTTTTCCATTCGCCGAGCTCCCCACCCCTTTCCGGGTGGGTGAAATATTTAACATGCAAATGAGTTTGGCTGTGCATAAAGTTTCGCTTTAAATGTGTTTATTTTAGTTGCCACGCCCACACCGCCCCGCCACCGCCGCCAGCGCCGCCGTTCGAGCGGCTCCAACGCATCGCTCGTTAAAAAGAGTTACAAAGTTGGTGAATATTTTAACACTTCTTCGCTGCGTTTTAACATTTATTTAGTCCGGGCCAGGATTGCCCTCTGCCGCCCTGGCCTATTGCCGGCTTTTAATGAGTTTTTCAATTTCAATGAGTTTGGTTCCGGTCCCTTTTCTGTCACTTCATTAGGTTACTCTCCGCAAACACCTTTGACTTGAATCCCGGCACTTGTCAGTGAAGGGCCGAAAATAAACAGGGCTAAAGGATACTCGATACTCTTGTACTTATTACATAACCTTTGACCTGGAGAGTTGATAAGAGAGACTTTGAAAGGTACTTTATTTAAATAATTCAAATGTGAACTGTTAGATACAAATACTTTATTCTCTTATAAGAAACCCAAATACATCCGATAATTTTATATAATTAAATTTAAGAAAGAGCCTATTAAAGCTACATCTATACTTTAGATTTTGTAGCGAGCAAATTTGTTCACTTAAAATTATCCCCTTACAGGATCTGCTTGTGCAAGCATGACCAACTTTAAAGAGACCTTAAAGCTACTTTTCAAGTTTTCTCCACGACTTTACCTGCCACTCGGCTTGTGTTTACTTAGCCTTAGATGGCGCCTCACCCAAGACATTCGGCCCCACTCCATCAGGAGCATCTGGAGTTGGAAACTTTTTGCATTAGCAGCTGCCACCGAAGCCCCTGCCACTCGATAAACTCTCTCTTTGTCTTTGCTGCACTGCTTGCTGCTCTCGGACCTGATTGCAACTGGTGTCTGTGGCATAATTGATTCGCTAACCACCGAAGACCGGGCTCTGGAGCTAGAGCTGTGGGCCGGCCGGTGGCTGGAGCTGGAGTGTTCCTGGCCATGTGTATTTTGCCACTAAACGTTTTGCTGACAAGCAGCCACTTGTCTGGCATCAGCTCTCCAGCAGCTCTCCTCATCGTGTTAGTCAATCAGTGACTTTTCTTTGGCAACAAATTCTCCAAATGAAAATGCAGCATCATTTATCAACATCAAAACGGCAAACGGCAGCACATTGGCCACATCAAGTGCACTTAAAAAAGAGAAGGTGTTAGCCGAGGATGTTTAGTTATAAGTTATAAGTTTTTAATAAGAAAAAGCTTTTCCCACATGTTTAATATGTTTAAATAAAAACTATTAATACAAAATGGACATACTTTTCCTTGGTAGCTATTGTGAATTATTTTATTATTTATAAGAAAGGGTATTCTAAACAAATGATTTCTTTCAGTGTACTCCGACGAAGACGAGCTAGAGCATGGCAGAGGAAGTGAATGGATCTCTTGCTTAATTTTGAAGTGGCAAAAGTTGAACACTCAGCACTGCACTACAAAGGAGCAGTAGGGTCTGGTCTGCACTAAAACTTGGCCTCAGATGCCACACCTTTTTCGCCGCAGACTTGGACTCATTAGAAGGCGCCGGTGCTCACATCAAGAGATTTGCATGCACTTCATTAGGCGCAGCTTCAGCAGACGCCCACACGGTTGTCACATCTCCGACCAGGCCGATCATCCATCCATGTCCTTCGGCCACGTCAATGACAATCCCGAAATTGCTGCTCCAGCTGCCTGTTTACTCAGAGCCCTCCCCCCTTCCATCCGTGCCATCCATCTCGGTGGGGCTAAGTCAACACAGACCGAGTGGAAATAAATTACAGACGACTTTGTCATGCTGTCCACTCTGCCAAGTCAGCCTTCTTGGACTTGGACTCCTACTCGCACTCCCTCGGCCGAACGTTTTGGCTAAATAATTGCAATTTTTATCAGAGAACGCAATAAACACCAGACAGTCGGGTAGAGTGGCCGAACTATCCACTCACTATCGTGGTTATAATACTCATCGTCATTGCCATCGGACAACATCAATGATGCTGTTGCTCCGGGGACTGGGGAAAGTTGTTGACCGGTCGCAGTCTACGATACTCTACAATGGGATACATTTTCTTTCTGAAGCTCATTCGTAATTTATTTTTATAAATTTATTCCATCTTCTAAATCTTGGTTTTATAGTGTGTATTGTATTGTAGTTTATCTTTCAGTTGTTTGGCTGTTAAATAACTTTTTTTAATGATAATAATATCTAAGACTTATTTTATCTAATCAATCCCACTTTCTAGTAAAAATTTCCCTAGTCTACTTTAATTTTAGGGTATTAAAAACTTCTTTAACCTCTAGGTTTGGTGAATTTCTGGTTTCGCATTTGGCAAACTTTCTTGGACAGACGTCTCGGCTCATATGCCTCGACACTTAATTGGATTTCTGCTAAAATTGCGTTTATTATTGTGGTCACTTTGCCAGTGTTTCCCTTGCCCCACGTCTCCCCGTCCGAGAGTGGCTCTTTACGAGGTGTGAAGGGGCCAATCATGTGTCCAAACTCCCAGTTTCCCCACTTAAGCCTGAGCAGTATCCAACTCCACCGATAAGTAGCTACTGGCCGGGCGGTAATTAAGTTTTTGGAATGCCCGGTCTATGCATAGCTTGTGGTCACTGCGGTCTGTGGCCCTCAGGGATCGAGGTGCGAGGTGTGGCTTAAAGCTACCTGAGTTAAAGGGGAAATCGAAGGGATGCGCAATTTGCTGGGCTGTCAGTCAGCCGAAAAATCTCATGTCAATTGCAGGACATAAATCACTAGATGCTGAATTGAGCAGATGTAAATTTGAGATCCTTTGGGGAGAGGAGCACGCGTATGTTTAGCCAGGTTGACTTACTGCCAAGGACCTTTGGGGTGCTCGACGTCGGTAAATGGCGACAATTTGTAAAGCGAGAGGCAGCTTGAATGGAAGCTCTGTAAATACTTGGCTCACATGTAAGGAGCTGGGCTGAG